ACAGAGGACAGCAGGGGCAAAGGCTCCAGGCTACAGACAAGCTTGGGGTAGTCAAGGGACAAAAGGGCAACCAGCATGGCAAAGTGAATGGAGGAGGAGGGAGTGACTGAGACAAAGGTGAGGGCCGGCTCACATAGGACAGGGTAGGAAGGGCATTGCCAAGAGGTCCATGGATAGGATTCAGGGGGTCTGTGAACTCGGATGGAGAAAAATGTCATCTCTCTCTTCACCAGCCTCTAACTGGAAATGAGCACTTCATTGAGTCACAAATGTTGACAACAACCCACAGTAATGTTAGCGGTGCTGGGACTTGTCGACGACAGAAATCTCAGACCCATTCATATCACCATCATTGCAGATATCTGGAAATATCACTTACGCTCTCACTAATTCAAAATTACAGTAGCTATTAGACCAGCTGCTGGGCCCTATTAAAGTATTCACAAGAAAGCACATATACTTCAAGATCGTAACATTTTAAAGTATCTAATAACTATTTGAAAAGAACTGGTTTCCTTTGCAATCCTAGGCTTCACGCAACGACCAAAGAGCTCATAAGCCACGGTGAGAAGTTTGTCTTTTATTACAGGTGGGAGCAGCTGCTGCAGCGGTTTCAGCAGGGGACCCAAGGGGTGCCGTTTTCATTTCTCAGAATCCCCCTGGCTGCTGGGGGAGATGGCCTGTGGTTGTCAGGGCAGTGCTGGGGGCGAGAGAGGGTGTGGCTTTAACAGACCACTGTTCTGGCCAGTCAACGGGGTCCTTGTGGTCTCCGTCCTCCCCTCTGATCAAGAGCCTTCCCACGGGGCCCTCTGGGCCCATAAGGGCCTCATCACCCTGGCCCAAAGCCTGCTCTGGGACATCCTCCCAAAGAGCTTCAGAAAGTGAGCTCATGTGTCCACAAGAAAAATAAATGTGGCATTTGCCACTGTTTGGTTTGTATATTGGTCTAGAAAAGAAATGAGATTTTTATTTAAGAAAGCCTTCCAGCAGGACCCCAGCAGAGGCTGGGCAAACACCAGGGCGACGGACTGTAAACACACAGGAAGGCCCGAGCCCTGGGGCCGGTCCCCACGAGCTGCAGCCCCTCGGTTTATGGCGGCCTTCCTGTTTTCCCGGCCTCTCTTCACACTGCACTCATACACAGAGTCTTTTCAATCCCTCTAGGAGAACAGAAGAATTCATTTTCACACGCCAGCGTGCACGTTTCTCTCACCCTCCCAGGGGAGGGGACCCTGACAAGAGGCCCGTTTATGGACCTTGATGGACAGATGGGGATGGGGCCCATGGGGTAGAATCCACGGACATAGAAAAGCTCAGAGGCGAATCCTAGGCTCCAGAGGGTCCCCCATTCCGGAAGTGACGAGGGTGCGGCGGGGCCAACTGGAAGGAGAGAGGCATTTGGGGCCCTTCTGGGGCAATGCCTGGAGGCCCCATGGGGAGCAGGGCTAGAGTGGGGGGCACTGAGAGTTGGTGTCGGGGACTGAACCTCGGCAGAACTCGCTCACCTCCAAGTATCAGGATCTGTGTGTCAGAAAGGAGAGACGTGGAGAGGGAGGGAGCCCTGGGTCTCTGAGTCTGGCACTAGGATAGGTGAAAAGAAAGGTAGACAGTGAGGCGTCCACATTGCTGGAGTGAACTGTGGCCGAAGTGTGACCGTTCTGGAGGGGCCAGCTCAGCTCAGCTGTCCTTTTCCCAGGCTGCTGGCTAGAGAGAACAGAATTTTTTTTGGGGGGGGGGTGTCTTTTCTTTTGCACCCATTGGCATCTCCGGGTAGTGAGTTTCTCCAGCACCTGGTCCCTGGGATTTAACGGAGGCAAAAAAGAAAAGCCAGGAGCCCACTGGCACACCACTCCTCACATCCTGAGATCCCAGCCAGTCTGCCTCTTCCTCCATTTTTAGGAATCTTCTTTTGTTTTCTTTTTTAAATGCTTGTTTTGTTTTTATTTTATTTTATTTATTTATTTTTGGCTGCGTTGGGTCTTCGTTGCTGTGCACGGGCTTTTCTCTAGTTGCGGCGAGCAGGGGCTACTCTTCGTTGCAGTGCGTGGGCTTCTCACTGAGGTGGCTTCTCTTTGTTGCAGAGCACGGGCTCTAGGCGCACAGGCTTCAGTAGTTGTTGCACGAGGGCTCAGTAGTTGTGGCTCCCGGGCTTAGTTGCTTCGCAGCATGTGTGATCTTCCTGGACCAGGGCTCGAACCTGTGTCCCCTGCATTGGCAGGCCAATTCTTAACCACTGTGCCACCAGAGAGGTCCCTTTAGGAATCTTCTTATATTTTTTTATATGTGACGTCCAGAGCTCTGGACTGCCCATGGTCGGGGGGATAGGAAACCGCATCCGCTCCACGTTGTCTGGAACTGGAAGTCCTATAGTTGATGTTTGTGTTTTCCATTTTCAAGAGACACATGAATCAAATATAGATAAATATTAACATTTCTTTAATCCAGGTGGCAGGTACAAGAATGTTCCTCATATGACTCTCAACACTCTTCCATTTATTTAAAACACTGCAGAAGCTCAGTGTTCACTCCTTCATACCACTTCATTCATTCTTTCCTTCACTCGTTCATCCAACTATTGTGCTCCTCCTGTAAGCAGGCACCAGGCACATGGTGGTGAATTTAAAAGATCCTTCTCGAGGAGACTTTCGCACTTGAGGGGCAAACAGACATCCAATAATAACTGGGGGTGGGAGGTGGGGAGGTGGGAGGCGCCCTGACAAAAGGGCAGGATGCTTTGAAAGACCCTGGCCAGGAGCTAATTTTAATTCTCTGAGGAGGTGGCCTTCAGAGCTGGCTGGGTCCTGAGGACCATTCCAGACACCACCACCTGCAGGCAGTTAACCCAAGGCAGAGAAGCAAATGGGCTCCACCTGCCGGGCCCCTCCCAGGTGATACTGGCCCTCACGCAGTTACCCTGCCTCTCTACACAGCTCCCCACTTTGGAGGGTGCTTTCCTCCTATTTCAAGTTCTCTCTTCCAAATCAACACCTCAGAAGGGTCTCTGGGATCAGCCCTATGGCTCCGAGGTTGAGTGGGAGCCATTCCTGGGCCTGTTGAGAAAAAGCTGGGCTCAGCATCCAGGAGAGGCGTGTGGTAGCTGGTGAACGTGCTCGCCCTGGACCAAGAGGATGGAGAAGAGGGTCTGGTTCCCCAGGGGTGTGCGGAGACCATGGCATCTGAGCTCCCCACCCCTCCCCACCCCTAGGCCCTACTCTCTCCAGGCCTAAAGAACCAGATGGCCCCGGGAGGGTGGCGGCAGATTCCAGGGACTCTCCTTCCTCTCCCCTCTCTGAAGGCTACTTGTGAGTCGTCAGTGGCAAAACCCTCCCCGACATCCTCCCAGCCCCAGAAGAAGAGCCCATCTTCTCTCCCCCCGCTGCCCCACGTACCTCCAGATCAAGGGCAAACTCGGGCACCCCCAACACAAGAGCGGCCCAGCAGAGTGGGAGCTGCTGTGCATTCCAGGAAGAAAGTCAAGTGCTAAGGGGAGTGGTCCCAGGCTCCAGCGAAGCCCTTCACACACCTGGTCTCACCGCACTGGGTTCATGAGCACTGTTTTCAGCTGAGGAAACTGAGGCTCAGCAAGATTAAGTAGCTTGTCAGGTGGCTGGAGAGCGGGTGGGGTTTGAACCCAAGTCGGCCTGGACCCGGAGGCCCTGATCTCTTAGGCCACCTGCACTCTCAGCCCCAAGAACACCGTGGGGACTCTGGCCTGACGTTTTAAGGACGGAAGGTGGGTCTGAGGTCATTTCCCCACCACTCGGCACCCTACTTCTTCCCTGCTCACATCTGCCTTTGTGGGATGCACGTGGCTCCCTTCCACTTCATAAACACCAATTAAGGGAGCTCCTCCTCCGTGCTGGGCATGTGGGGCGCACAGAGGGAACAGGTCACCTGCTGTCACAGCACAACGGAAGGATCTGGAGGGGGGCGCCCGGCGAGAGGACTGAGCAGGCCTGGGACGGCATGTGAGTCCCACCTGGCCTGGGGAGCTGGTGGAGGCCAGGCCACGCGGAGAAGCCATTCAGAAAAGCTAAACGGCCATGAGTGGCCTCACGTCCCACAGCAGGCGCAGGGCAGTTCACCCAGTGCCCCGGGCAGAAGTCTCAAGAGCAGCTGGGCCTGCGGAGTTCTGGGTAACAGCATCATCCTATACACGCGCTCAAAGGATCTGAGTGTAATAAACACAGTATGGCGCATCCGTGACCTCTAGCAGTCAGGAGCAGATAAGACGCCTTCATGCAGCAAGCGGGAGTGCCCCGCCCTGGGCACAGAGGGGAGAAGGGCCAGGGCTCCCACCAGCACAGAGAGTCCTCGTCCAGCCCCCCAGCCTCCTCACCACAGCCGTGTTCGGAGCGGGGCCGGGGACAGACCCTCCTGGTGCATTTGGCTGTGCCAGCCCCTAGGGAGACAAGCGCCCTCTGCTCTTGGAGCTGCCTGGCCGTGTGGGCGCTGAATAAAGAGGACAGGGCTGTGCACTGAGCAGGGCAGCTCCTCGGTGAGAACCCACATCCCTGGCAGCAGGGAAGGGGAGCCCAGAGGCTCACCACCCCGCCTCAGCTCCCAAAGCCTGGGGCTGCTTCCTGAGGGCAGGACCCACGGGCCCCAGGAAGGAAGGGCGAAAGCTACACGGGGTGGGGGTGGGGGGGCGCTCAGGGCCAGGTGTGGCCCACCTCCACCACCCTCCCACAAGCTGTGCAACTTTGGTCCAATTACAGAATCTCTCTGTGCCTTGGTTTCCCCAGCTGAAAAGTGGAGTAAAATAACAGCCTCAAAGGGTAATTGGGAGATAATCCTGCCCGGCACACACCAAATACTCGACGAATGTTGATTGCATCTTGATATCAATTAGCAAAGGCATCAGCTTGGACCGCCTACCTAGCATCACTTTACTGCATTAACCGATTTGTACCTGACTCACCGTTCAGACAGTTCCGGTTAACGGGCCGCTTGCTCCCCTCTCCGCCCCTCCCCGTGCCCCCTGAGGGAGGAGAGCTTACCTATGGTCCTTCGGAGGTCTTCACACTGGCTAATGTGAGGGAACTTCAGGATTTCCTTCCACTTCTTGCTTTTCCCCTTGCGCTTTCCTCCGCCCCCTGCAGAGATGGGGAAGAAAGATGGGGAGCTGATGCTGGTGTTGTCCAAGGCTCCAGAGCCTGTGTCCCAGCCCAGTGAGCCTGTGCACGGCTTCCTGGCTGGGAGACAGGGACACGCCCCCTCCCCAGTCGGCATCAAGCCTGTGTGTTCTTCCCACAGGCTCGCCCGGGCCTGGGCCCCCGCCACCACCAGCAGCAGCGGTCCCTCCCATCCTCCACGCCTGCACCCACACCGGGCACCCTGTTCTTCCTTGGCGTCTCCCACGGCTGTGCAGCCCTGCCGGGTGCCTGGTGTTCGCTCCAGACTCGACCACAACCTTCCGATGGCAGGGGCCAGGGCTGTCAGCCTGGGAAATCCTGGTGAAATGGATTCACAAGCGGGTGGACTGCAGCCCCCTCACCACCTCATTTTACCCCTTGTTTCCTGGGGAGAGTCCCCATCCCCAGCTGGAGGCCAGGTGTCGGGGACAAGGACTTCAACTCCCACTTGTCCTGGGTAGCCCCTTCTTCTCCCGCCTCACGAACCCCAGGGTCTCAGGGGATGCATTTCTCAAGGCTGGAAGGACTCCTGAAGGACCCCCGTCAGGCCTTGCATCCTGCCCAGTGTGCACACGTAATGAGCACGCACACGCTAGGGACACACACGCAATGGATATGCACACGACAGACATACAAACACAATGAACACACATGTAACAAACACACACAATGAACATGTACATGCAATGAACACACAGAGCTACCTAAGGCGCACACACAGGTGTTCCCATCATCCCTGCCACACCTTATCCGTGGACAGATGTCAGAACGCTCAGGTGTGCAAACGGCAAGGGGGGGCCAACTCCAGCCTACGTGTCCCTGAGCCCACCACCATTTGGAACTTGGACCTGGAGGCACCTCTGTGTCACGTGGCCAGGACCGCACCAAGAACCTGAGATGCCATCGTCTGCCCACTGCCCCCAGAGTGGCCCTTAAATTCCACTGGTCAGTGACTCACCAAAGATCACATAGTCCTTTAGGACCCTCAGCGTCTCGGAATTTTATAGGGCTTCTTATCCCCCTTCATGTGATCACCACCTCAAATACCCGCGAAGTTTGGGGCCAGTTAAAGAGACGCCAGATCTTGGCCAGGCCCTCAGCACCCCGGGATGCTCCCCCCAGTCTCTGACCCCCAGAGAGGGTCTGGACAGGGCAAGGCCCCTTTCTTCAGCCAGCCAACCCAGGGACACCCGGAGGAGCTCGGATCTGGGCCCGCCCCGGTCCAGCGTGTGTCGGCGCTGGCACAGAGCTGATCTCAATAAAGGGAGATTCCCAACTCATCCAACTGCCCTGCAAAGCTGAGGCCACCTTCCTGAACATCAAGTGGGTGGGCTTCTGAGGATGGGACGAGGACCCCCACCCGGGGGGCCAGGAAGGACGGGAGGGAGCTGACGGCAGAGGCCCAGGACACGGTCCATTTCCCAGCTCTCTGCTCGTTCTGTCTTCAGCCCAGCCAACCAGCCCCAGCCCCCTCTGCTCAAGCCTCCACAAAGGTCAAAGGCCCCAGCTTCCAGGGAACAAAACAAATGTGTATGGGGCTCACGTTGTGGCCAGACACTGTTTGAACATTATCTTACTTAATCCTCAGAATGACTTGTGGAGGAGGAAATCACTGGGCATATCACAGATGTAGAAACAGACGTCCGACGTTGCGTAACTCACCAGTGGATGGCCTGTCCGACTCCACTGTGCTCTTTGCTCCAGCAGCACCAACACACCATCACACGTCCACACACACCTCACAGCCCTTCTGCTGCCCTGCCCTGGTCCCCGCTCTAACTCTCCCAGGCATAACTATTACTATTGCCACTTGACAGACAAGGAAACTGAGGCACAGGGAAGAAAGAAGCAAGTCACCTATAGCCCCACAGCTCACAAATAGCAGGGCCAGGACCCCAGCCTGAGCAGAATCCAGACCCTATAGGCATTCACGCTCACCCTTCTGTCTATAAAGCTCCCTTTCGGGAGCACCAAAAGCAAAGGAAGCTCCCAGGTATCAAAGAGGAAGCTGGCATCGGACCTCAGAAGTGATACGGCATCCGGTAGGAGGAAACAGAACTCGAATCTCTCCAGCTGAGGCCCAAGCCACCGGGAAGAGACGCCACCCCGGGCCCGAGGCCTGAAGAGCTGCTCTGTTGGACCCACGTGTGGCTTGTTGGTTTGTTTGCCTGTTCATTGAACCTGGTGTCAAGATTTAAACGTGGAGATGTTACATATGAATCCAGATTTGGGACTTCTCTTCCTGCATTTCTCTTCCAGGATGAGCTGGAGCTGGGTGGCGGCTGCCCCTGTGGACAGGACAGTGGCCTCCAGTCGGCAGCTGGCCCGGCCCCTGTAAAGGTTAGTTACGTGCATCCCCCAGGGAAGAGCCGCCGTCTCGAGAAATCAGGCAAGTCCGATGCTCCCATCCCCATCAGCTCCGGCTCTGAGGCTTAAAAGGGCCATTAGAAATCATCCAACCATAAACAAGACCAAAAGACAACCCTCAGAATGGGAGAAAATATTTGCAAATGAAGCAACTGACAAAGGATTAATTTCCAAAGTTTACAAGCAGCTCATGCAGCTCAATAACAAAAAACCAAACAACCCAATCCAAAAATGGGCAGAAGATCTAAATAGACATTTCTCCAAAGAAGATATACAGACTGCCAACAAACACATGAAAGAATGCTCAACTTCATTAATCATTAGAGAAATGCAAATCAAAACTACAATGAGATATCATCTCACACCAGTCAGAATGGCTATCATCAAAAAATCTAGAAACAATAAATGCTGGAGAGGGTGTGGAGAAAAGGGAACCCTCTTGCACTGTTGGTGGGAATGTAAATTGATACAACCACTGTGGAGAACAGTATGGAGGTTCCTTAAGAAACTACAAATAGAACTACCATATGACCCAGCAGTCCCACTACTGGGCATTACCCTGAGAAAACCATAATTCAAAAAGAGTCATGTACCAAAATGTTCATTGCAGCTCTATTTACAATAGCCAGGACATGGAAGCAACCTAAGTGCCCATCATCGGATGAATGGATAAAGAAGATGTGGCACATATATACAATGGAATATTACTCAGCCATAAAAAGAAATGAAATTGAGCTATTTGTAATGAGGTGGATAGACCTAGAGTCTGTCATACAGGGTGAAGTAAGTCAGAAAGAGAAAGACAAATACCGTATGCTAACACATATATATGGAATTTAAGAAAAAAAAAATGTCATGAAGAACCTAGGGGTAAGACAGGAATAAAGACACAGACCTACTGGAGAACGGACGTGAGGATATGGGGAGGGGGAAGGGTAAGCTGTGACAAAGCGAGAGAGAGGCACGCACATATATACACTACCAAACGTAAGGTAGATAGCTAGTGGGAAGCAGCCGCATAGCACAGGGATATCAGCTCAGTGCTTTGTGACCGCCTGGAGGGGTGGGATAGGGAGGGTGGGAGGGAGGGAGATGCAAGAGGGAAGAGATATGGGAATATATGTATAACTGATTCACTTTGTTATAAAGCAGAAACTAACACACCATTGTAAAGCAATTATACCCCAATAAAGATGTTAAAAAAAAGAAAAGAAAAAAAAGAACTCATCCAGTCTGCACCCCCTGTGCCCCCATTGATTCCCACACTATTTGTTCCCAGATCTGGCTGGGATTAAGCACTTTTGTGTGTGTGGTAAAATATACATAACAGAAAATGTACCATTTTAACCATTTGTAGGTGTGCAATTCAGTGGCATTAAGCACATTCACATTGTTGTGCAACCGTCACCACCGTCCATCTCCAGAACTTCATCATCCCAAATGGAAACTCTGTACCCATCGAACACCAGCTTCCACTCCCTTCTACCCCTGGTGACCACCTTTCTACTTTGTGTCTCTCTGATTGGACTACTCTAGGGACCTCACGAGTGACATCGTACAAGATGTGCTCTTTTGTGACTGGCTGGTTTCACTTAGCATGATGCCTTCAAGGTACATCCATGCTCTAGCAAGTGTCAGATTTCACTCCATTTTAAGGCTGAATAATACTCCGTCCATTGTGTGCATACGGCACATTTTGTTTATTTATTTGTCTGTTGATGGATACTTGGGTTGTTTCCACCTTTTGGCTATCGTGAATACTGCTGCTCTGCATATCTGAGTCCCTGCTTTTAATTCTTTTGGGTATATGCCTAGGAGCAGAATTGCTGGATCATATGGTAATTCTATGTTTCCCTTTTCTGAGGAACTGGTGAAGCCCTCTTGACAATACAGACTCCCAGGCTGCACCCCATCAGCCTGAGCCCCAACTCTCTGTGATCGGAACCCAGGAGTCAGGCTACGTAAAAGGCTCCCCAGGCGATTCTTAGGTAGCCAGTCTATGGCAACAGGAATCTATTTAAGACACACACACACACACACACACACACACACACACACACACTTTTTTATAGGTTAATTTATCCATTAAGAAAATTAACACCAAAAACTTTAAAAATAAAGAAAATTAACAAAATTCATTAATTCATTAAACCAGTATGTGTGGAGCATCTAGTAAATGCCAAGCACTATGCAGGTGCTGGGGACACGGGGACGGGCAAGACAGACGGGGTGTCACCCTCTCAGGGCTTCCTTCTTTGGGTGCCCGATCTAGTGAGGAAGACAAACATCAAAGGCTTGATTTCAGTGGTTCTCAACCCCTGGGCAATTTGTCCTCCAGGGGACATTCGGCAGTGTCTAGAGATATTTGGAGTTGTCACAACTGGATGAGGGTGCTACCAGCATCTAGCAGGTAGAGGCCAGAGATACAGTTAAACCTTGCCTAATGAGCAGGACAGCACCCCACAACAGAGAACAATGTGCTCAAAGTGTCAATAGAGCTGAAACGGAGAAATGCTGCTTTATTTAATGACCATTATGACCAACACTCAGAAGGAGTGCGAGGTTTGGGAGAGACTCGCTAGTAATGGGGCCAC